CTACTTGGCAAAATAAATTGCTCCTCTTGCTTTAGTGACTACAACATTGTCCACGATTAGACGGTGGCTCGCTGTCCAACTTTGTTCGGACAGGGCTTTACGCAGCGGACCATCGTCATCTTTACACATTTACTTTCCTCAGAGATAGCCCCATATGTCCTAACTTTGAGATTTTAGAGTAGAAGCTGCAAAATGAAATGTATGACTGCCATTTGAAAAGCAAGTTGCAAAGTTAAGATTTATCATCGGATCTTGAAAAGCAGAGCTTTGGCTGAAAAACTAATCAATAATGTGGACAAATTTTACTTGAATCTGTCTACATAATTGGTTGGGAGAAAACTTCCCATCCTAATAGTTGGATTCTCTGCGGTTTACCTGCAAGATCATATGTTAGATGAGAATAAAAGTGCAAATGTCCGCCTCAGTCATACGTGTCCTACCTCCTCAAAAAATCATGTTCAAGAATCAAGTACTTTTGCGTAAATCTTTACTGGAGCTTAGGCCTAACTGGGCTCTTTTTTGTCTACGAATTTTCAGATGGTTCAAAGTTTAGATTGCCGCTTCTATTTAGATGGAGAAAAATGGATAACTTTAAAAGGCATAATTATTTCGTTGTGGCCAAACTGTACTTCGCTAAATGAAGCTTAAAACGCCGATTTCGCATTTTGGATCCATGAAAAACCCTGTGAAAGAAGTTATGAACACGTTTGCCTTCTTAAAATAGCGAGCCCTCCAAAACAATGCGTTCATTTTTGATTATGTGGTAAAGCTTATACATCCTTATTCGGTTTGAGAAGCTCAAGAGCGGTGATTGGCAGATCCTGCACTGAACGTCTATACCTACCCAACCTTATTTCCTTTTTAATTTATTCAAATGAGTTACATAATCCATGAAATGTTCTTTCGGTTAATTTCAAACAAATAAACAAAAAGTGTAATACCTAAATTACAGAATATTTCGAACTGTAATAGTTCCTCTACATAGTCCTTAACAAAGCATCCTCATTAGTTGAGAACTAAAACTTTCGTTACAGTACAGTTTCAGCGCAAACGACCGTTTCGACTCGTCCTATAAAAGCAATCTTGTCGTCTACAGCAGTGGAGAGGTAAACTGGATCCCCCCAGGAATCTTCAGAATCACTTGTAAAATGGATATCACGATGTTCCCATTTGATGAGCAGGTACATAATCTGGCAGTTTTCTCAATGCTTTATATTTGATATTCTGCAGATTTGTTTCTTGAAATTCGGTTCATGGACCTACCATGGCTTGGCACTCGATCTACGCGTTGAGGAAGAAGAAGGCAGCGGTTGGCAAGTTTTTAATTAATTGTTTCAGAGCGCAAGACGTGTTTATAGAACCATCAATGGATTTATCAACTTACATTTCCAATGGTGAATGGCAGTTACTGAGTGCCCCTGCTGAAAGACAAGTCACCTACTATCAATGCTGCCCTGAACCATATCCTACGCTAAAGTTTGAACCTTATTTAGTAAATATAAGAAAAGTTTAAATATGCTATAGTCTAGATTCTACATGCATCTCAAACGAAAAGCTCTCTATCACATGTTCAATATCATTACCCCATCATTGCTAATTTCGGGGATGACACTACTTGGATTTTGTCTTCCTGCCCATGATATGAGCGAAAAGATCGGATTTCGTAAGTAATTGTTTAGTACTCATCATTTACAAACAAGAATAGATGGAGTTGTATGTCTAAACACTACACCCTAAAGAACGAGTTTCTCCTTGAGGGCAAAATTCGACTTAGCTGATGTCTTGAATCAAGATAATCAAGTCCAAAAACCAATTAAATAAAAGCTGTCCTGTAAAAGTCCTAACATTTTTATTTTTTAATTCCAGAGACCACTATCTTACTTTCTGTTTGCTTTTTTCTGACTATTTTATCGGAGATGACCCCTACCACATCGGAATCTATTCCATTGTTAGGTACGTTTTATAAAAGATATATTTTAGAGGGTAAAATGATGGTTCCGGAATTTGAGTCACATTCCATGAAACGGCTTGATTATGTGCCATAAAGAAAAACCTTCTACTGCAAGTTTGTTAACCCGTGCTTGAATATCGTTTGAGTCTCCCTTTTCATATAAGATTACACATGGGATAGCAACTATAGCGTTCTTCTAAGACTAAACATCAGCTTGAAGCCCTAACTGAAACCTAATTACCCTAAAATCCCATAGATAAGAGCGGTTTAATTAATTAATTTTAAGAGCGAATGAAATTGAAAT